TGATTTATGTCAGCAATATTATAAAGACGTACTTGCTCTGTTTCATTTCACCGGACCAGAATAGAACTTTCATATTTTCCGCGTACAGATTCAAGCGTCGGGAAAAGATAATGCATTTCGCTGCATTAGTTATGAAATTCCCTTTTGTATCAACAAAAATTTAATTAAAAACCTGCAATATTTGAAACACCAAAAGTTTTAATCGTATTTTGCATAACAGTTCATTAATATTGAAGGATATAATTAAAACGAAAATGTAATTATTTATATTCAAAGTATTAAATAATAAAAATAAATACAAATGAAAACATGATTACACTAAGTTTTATATACTAAAGTTTATTATAAAAAGCTACAAATTATACTTTTAATATAAGTTATAAATACTTTATGTATGGTTGTATGTTTTATGTCTCCAATAACAAACTATTTCTATGTTAAGTGGTATCGATAAAGAATCTAGTAGTTTGTATTTGAGATGCAAATTCCGAAGGCCTCTTCCATCTCAGACCTTCTGCTGAGGGTGGGGAATTGCCTGTCTTGTTTATGGATATAAGCAGGCCACACCACGATTACCCAAGGGATGCCGTTTTTAGCTTATCCTTGTCCATATTGAGAGATTAATTAACATAATAACAGTAAACTTGTAAAAGCGCATCTCGACTTTAGTATCAATTAACACTTTACTACTCCGTGTAACTTATACGTTTCTTATAAAATATTCCATCAAACATTATAAATTTGTAAATATCGAAAACACTAACTATATAATTAAAAATACGCACATAAATACAACAAATATATTTAACAACAAATATTGAAATTAAATACCCCATGTATCCACCAGGATAAAATGAAAATAGTATTAAATTTCATAATTTTGTTTTACAATTAAATTTGCATTTGCATTTACATCATCAAATATTTAATAAATTACTTTAATGCATCTAAATTTATTGAAAATAACATATATATTTACATTTAAAAAAATAAATTATTAAAGAAACTTTTTCTTGTTTTAAGTATAATAAAAAAAAAGATTCATTAATTTGTATTATATCTAAAGTTTTGGAACAAAATTTTATGAAGTCGCGGAAGTAGATTATAATGAATTCGTTTTATTAAATGAATGTCAGTAAAGTGAAGAAACGAGGGATAAAGACTGGGACCATTATGATGGAATGGAGATGGGAAAGATGAGCAATTTTTTTTTTGTTGGAAGGCAATCATTAATTTAAATCAGTGTCAGGATTTTTTGGAGATGGATTGGTTCGTCCGGAGGGAATGTCGGCCTACGTTGCGCAATTGAGTAGTCCGAAAATGTGATTAATAAAATGGCCGTTGGGGTCGACGTACATCCGTTCGACCCTCGGTGGCGTCTGTACACTTCCGGAATGCCATAACTGCCGGTTATGTTCATTAATATCCGTCATCCGGTCCCATCCAGCGAATAACTTCACAGCCGATGGATTTATAAGCGACGACCGTATTGGTGACATAGTTCAAACCCAATATATATAGTTAAGATACTCCTAAGGCGTATTCAATATAACCCTACCATAATTTCATAGTCCATCTAATTTTAAAGGATGAAACTTCTTGCAACTCACTTTCGACAAAACTTTTCATCGGAGCATCTAAACTTTTTCCTTTTTTTTTCTTTGTTTTATTTATATTTGTAAACTGAAACTTGGATATCCTCGCTGGATAGATATTCCGCTTCGAAATCGGGGCCACTCGATTTTTCACTTTATTTTGTATTCCTTTGTTCCGGAGGTCAATCAATTAAAACGGACCGGAAAATGGGTTGCCGGTCTCCACGAGGTTGCCGCACACGAGCCAAACGGAAACGGATGATAATTCCAATCAATTACGAAGCGAAGGGGGGAAACTCGTTCGTAACCCCTTACACACGGACCGTTTCGGAGTTGGGGAGATCGAGAGCACCGGAACAGGAATCCAATGACAAATGGAAATTGCTTTCTTTCACTCCTCTTCCTCTTACCTTCTTCTTCTTCTTCTCTTTTTCATTTTATTTTCAAAATCGATTTCTGCACGAAAAGACCTTCCTATTATATTCTTAACAACTTTATGAAACTCTAAAAACTACTACAAAAGAGTTTTACGTTGAGATTTGATCATTAATACTTTCTTTTTTATTTCAACTTTCAAATACATCCTAAGACAGAACAGAAATAATTTGATACTATTGTATTTTGTTTCGCAATGAAAATAATCTTTTAAAATATATCAATTTAACTTATTTATTTGACTATAAATTAGAAAACATTCCACCAAATTCATTCTAGTTGCAATTATAGTTGATGTAAGGTGGTCAGATTTTAATAATAAGTTTCATCTATCTAAATTGGTTTACTTTGTTTTTATTGGCTTCTTTATTTATTAGTTTTCAATTTAGAAAAACGTACACGTACCAATCAATTCAAAGCAGTCATATTGACAACGCATATCATATAATGGATACTTGGCAAGTACTTCTACATGATATTTCTCAAATATTGCTTATTGAGTTACAGGTTTACAAGTTCTTCAAACATTCCAACATGAATATATTGAATACACACAGTCTATTATACTTTTAGGCACTTGTACAGCACTTATATTTGTTACATCCTAAGTATTGTTTATAGAATAGCAGTTTTTTTTAATAATACTGATATTTTTAAGGATTACAATTTTTTAAACATTCTAATATGAAAAATTGACTTCACGTTCTATTATACCAGAAAAGTTCTTTTATATGTTACTTCCCAAATAATGCTTATAGATTATAAGTCTTGTGTATTCAAACATATATTTCATTAAGGGCTACTTGCAAGTACTTGTACATGTTACTTATTAAATATTGTTAATTGAATAGTAGTTTATATTCACATTTATATTAAGGTTTACAAGATTTTGAAACATTCTTAATTAATAAGTTTAATTCCAAAACAAAACCAAAGTAAGTTGCTAATCATAAATTATTTTATGAGATTCTATGTATTTTTTTGCTTAAAAATTTAAGAAATATGTTCATTTGAAGTAGATACGTAATTGATTTTCTGTATATTGAAACAAATAGAGTCGCAGCAACATCTGTAGATATTTAATTAGATTTAGCTGGAACACAAATTATTCATAAACATTTCATTATTAAATGCCAGAATCACGGCAGTGAATGGAACATATTTCTTCTATTGGCTAAATTAGAGTCAGCGAATTCAATTAATCAACACGTAAAGTCTGCTAATTAAATTACATATATCCTCAATTGTATTAAAGCCCTGCGTGCCAGAACTAATTAATTGTTCCTGCGGCGAGCCGACTAATTTATTAGCCGGTTTTAATATCGGATTAAAGAATTCTTTTGCAAAGATTTTCGATATAATTATGAACTTCAACGCAACCAACGAAAAGATAGAACAAAAAAAAGAAGAGGAAACAACGAACGGTTTGCGTAATTATTTGGGATCTTGTTAAGGGAAGTTGTTTAAAAGTTGTCCAGGCACCGCCAACGCCAGCCTCGACATCCACGAATTACCGAATCGGCACTTCGATTAGCTCTGCACAAAATACAGCCGGATTCCAATCTGAGCTGAGATAATAAAACAACATCGATTGTGATTTCGTTCCCGTGCCTTGACGATGGAGAAAGAAAGAGAGAAAAAAAAGTTTTAATTAAAAGTATTTATGTTTATTTTTTGCCTCGCACCATAAGTAAATACATTTAGTCTCGGGGTTGTAAAATGAGAACACTAGATGAGAATATAACTTGATTGGGAGTTTCCAATCTCCTATATTTTCTTACACAACCTTTATGTCTATACAAAAATAGAGTATGCTTAATTAAAGTGGTATTAATACAAGTTTCTGTTAAGTTTTTCATTCAATTATAACTAATTCAAAAATTATTACAGTATGAAATAAAATTTCAATTTTTTAAAGATTGTCCTTAAGTCAATTAACACTAACTAGTAATACCATGAAATTGAACTAATCGATTTTTATATAATTAATAGAAATATTTTTATTATGAACAGGCGAATCTGTAATATGTTTATAATAAAAATTCTAATAACTTAACTTTTAAAATCTTCGTATTATACTCTTCTCCGCGATCTCAACTGAACGTATTAGTTTACTCTTTTATTGACATTTACCATGAAGCGCTTGAAATCTTTCTCAGAGATTTGAACAGGACTCGCTGAGTTGTTGCAATGTTTGCTTGCAGTTTTCAAGAGTCCGAATATGATTTAATATTATTTTATATGACTTGTTTATTTTCTCTAGCCAAATGTTATGAAATAGAAAATATATAACGTGGATAAATCTGGATATAAAGAAATAAGCTCAAATGATGCACAAATATATTACTTTAATCGATATAACTTGTTATGTTTTACAGTTTTCAGCAGTCGAATAATCTTATACCGGATTAATTGAGGAACTAAATACATACAATAACAAACCGCATGAAAAAAGACTTGAATGTAGAAAAGGATAAAGTAATTATGTGTACTAATTGTTTAGATTTTTTTTTACTTTGCTCAATAAAAAATTAGTTTGTTCAAATTTTCAAACCGGACTATAGTGAATCCGGACTAATCGAAGACGCACTAAGCGAGGAATTGCTCTAGTTATTATTAATTATGGTTACTTGATTTACATTTATCACATAATAATGACTTACTTTGTCCTAATTCCATCTTGAATCTTGATGGAAGATAATATGTGGATTCTCAAATATAAGAGTTTGGTTAAAGCAAGTTATTAAGTAAGTGTTGGTACTGTAAAGAAGATGACAGTGCAAAGCATACTTTCTACTGATTCTGTAGATGGGCGAGGATGAAGCTAGAACTAGACTAAATTCGTTGGAACAATGACAATGTGACATCTTCTCAAGATATGTGTCAAGGATGTTCTTCAGTGAGGAAGAAGATGAACGAAACCTGGAGAAGGCTAACGAAGAAGGCGGCAGTAAAGACCAACACTGACACATGTCGGTGAACGAAGATAGTAGCGCAAAGATAATTAACATTCCCGAGAAATACCAGTTGTGGACGTTGATGAAGAAGATGAGAGGTATTAAAGTGTTGGTTTCTCTCTTCTACAAGAAAAGTTATTAAGTACTACGGAATGAGAATAAATCCAATTACAAAAATAATAATAAATACCTTACTATAATCCATTAAGAATACAAGTGATTAATTGCGGTTGCAGTGACTAAAACATATTGAAAAAAATATAATTACTTTAGGTAATAATTATGTAAATGTATTGGTCATCCAGAAGTGCAGTGTATGTACAGTTATATGCGATTACCATTAAATATCGAAATCACAGGTGATTCACTTCGTCGTAATTAAATGCAGCCGAAACCTATTTATGGTGATGGGCAAACTGTTACTTCGCATACATTACTGAAATCTATTATAATTCGTGCATAATGCCGGTGTTTTAATTACACCTCCCCCTGTATATTGATTTGGCTGCGGGATTTCGAGAGGAGAACGCGTAATAAAGTAATGTTTTATTAAATTATTATAATTTATAACCGGTATAAATTCGTTGTAGATGTGATATATTGCGGCCGGACATTATATTTACGTATAATGGATGCCCGTGTTTGTGCAAATGTAAAGTTCCATTGCGAAATGTATTATTTACGGGGGCTGCTTTTGCAGATATTCCCCCAATCCGCGAAAATTCCGCGCGCCACCCGTCCTCTCTTTTCGCAGCAGAAAATTCAATAACGAAACAAATAAAATTCTCAGTTTATTGTTTCTGCAGTGCACGGTGCGCCGGGGGGTAAATAGGTTTTTATTTGTTCTAAAACATTATTCAACTATCCGCACTCTATGTTCACTATATATATTCAGGTATGGGGAATGGCGAAACGTTACCAAGTCTAGCCTATTTTCATCAAGTTCCAGTCAATGGCAATTTTTGTTTTCATATTGTTTTATTTTTTTATGCTCACCTTATTTATAAAGCAAAATGTATACTGTATGTTTTCATGTAGTTTATTTATTATTGCATCCACTGTACTTGCAACATAGTGAAAATCTCACTTTATGTTTTGAAACAACTGAATGTCGAGTTGTTGCATACTTTTTCGATTGAACTAAATTGAAAAGAAAATTGAAACACAGAAAATGACATTTTTTATTGTTTCAAGCAATTCACAATCAACTTTTTACATATATAATCGAAAATATAATGAAATTTTGAATTGGGTTTGTGATCAATAATTAAACAATCTTAAACAGTTAAATTTCTAGAAAACTGAACGAAAATATCAAAATATATGATCTTAGGGTCTATATTGCAAGCCCGACAACCGAAAGACAATTGAAATCCCGACTATATCGAAATTCCGACTGTATTAAAGTCCCGACGTTTGAAATCCCGACTATGTCAAAATTCCGACTGACAAAATCCCGATTATTATAATCCCGACAATAAAAATCCCGACTACCATATAAATGTTATTATAGAAATTTATAATAATAAAAGACTCTGTCGGGATTTCGATATAGTCGGGATTTTGATTGTCAGGGATTTTGAACCAGCTGGGATTTCGAACGTCGGGATTTCGGTTGTCGGCCTTGCGATTGCCACCGATGATCTTAATATCTCTAACAATCTGATCGTATTCGTAATAACAACTTAATTAAGTAATACAATTATACTTAAGTAATACAATTATACTTTAACTGCACCTCTGATAACGAAGCTTTGATATACCGAAGTTGGCAGGGACAAACTCCATTAAACATCGATGTTTTTTTCGGTAGAATATATGGAAAAGCTTGTTATTACCGACAAAGATAAAGAAAATGAAGACGAAATTAAAGAAGATTCTGCAGAAAGAATGTTAATAACTAAAAGAGCTTAAATGTCATTGAACACTTTTTGTTTTTGTAACAAAATAATACTCATTTAGGAAGAAGTTTTACTGTTAAATGAAAGAGAAAAGTAAGACATAGACAATTACTTACAGACTCATATTTCACTTTTTATGTAACTTTTTATTCCTTCGAAAAAAAGCTGTTGATTTTCTTTATGAAGGAACGTACTCTATTTTTTAAGTCTTACAACGAAGTTAATTAGTAAAAATTATTAAGAAAAGTCGATAAAATTAATACGATGTTATTGCTTCAAAAAAAAATGTAACACTTTTGCCATGAACTGAATATTATTAGGATCTAAGATAGCCGAATTGGAAGTGAGAAAATTTCGGCTTTTAATCTCGTTACTAATCCAATCTCCATATAAATTAGTTTCTGTCGCAATTTGTAATTTTCACGCAATCCCCCTACGTAATTATCCATAACAAAAAGGCCACGACAATAAATTAATTTCGAATTACTGCGGCTTAATAAATAAGCCATTCGATATCTCGTTCCCTACGTTACGTTTCCGTTTCGTGCTTATTATCGCGTGCCCGAATCAATTTGTTACCTCCTTGCTTTTTCTTTTTCTCTCTTCCCTTCTTTACAGCCCTGCTTTATTTTAATAACAAATGGACAAATCACAAACATACTATTTCTTTATTTAATCAACTTCCTTCTATTCATTTATTATCAAAGCATGCAAAAGTATAATAATGATTTTCAAGGTCACACATTTATTAAATCTTCATTGAATTACATAATGTACAATAGATTTTATTATAAATAATAGAAAGTAAAGTGGATCAAGTACTTGTTCTATTCAACTGTTAGGTTTATAGTTCTCAAGTATTGTATATTTTGAAATATTATAAGTAATAATGTAAGAAGATAAATGATTTTTAGTAAGGATGAAGAAAATCTAGGAAAAAGTTCGTCTTAGATAAACTCTACCCTCGACTACATAAAACGGTAGGAGTCTTGAGAATGAAAGATATGGATGGAAGCAAAGAGATAGACGTCAAAGTATGAATGTACGATAATGAATTACGGTGTGGGTGTATTATAAGGGAAGTTATCAGCAGTGTGAGAAAGGAGGGTGGAGCTGACGTGATAGTGACTAAATGGGGTGAAGAACAGAGCAGAATGAATTGTATGAAAGAAAGAAGGAAATGACGAAAAAGGATGGTTGTATGTTAGGTAATTGGAAGATAGAGGGAGATTGAAAGCAGCTGTGGTAGGAAAAATCACGTAAGATGATACTAAAGTAATTGTACAGTATACAACCAATTCATCATTCTGTTAAGATTATATTTTATATGAAACGTTGATATATTCTATATATAGAAAATAATGAAAAATTAAGAAAAAGTTAATATTTTTATAATAAACCTAATAGACAATTTCAATCTATAACCACTTTATGTATACTTATATAAAATAATATAAAAAAATAACTTTGATCTGGACATTTCAAAAGAGGGAATTATAGAAGGACAAAATGAGTGTTAAATTCAACATTAAAACTTCTCTTAAGCTCAAAAGAGGGTTAAGAGTATTATATTATCAAGAGTTTTATCTAAAATCCGTGCACAAAATACTTGTCTAAAGTCATTACATTACTCTTGGAACTATGAAGCTAGTTATGCTTTCCATTTATTCACTTATTAATAATTCACCTACACACAGCAACCGGTTGAAACCTACATGCTTTCAACCTTTTAAATAATAAAACATGAGAGATGCATTTTATATGTGATGAAAATGTACAATACATGAATCAAATCGTTGTTTGAACCCTTCAAAAAAAAATATGATTTATTTTGTATAATGTGTTAATAATTTCACCAAAGTCTTTGTAACTATTTATAATATATTTTTCAGCTTTTAAAGAACAAAAGATTAGTTCTGGTATTAAAACAAAAATACAAAATTTGGTGTGTTTACTGTCAATAAATGGAAACATTTATATTGACTATTACTTCGTACAACGTGCTAATAGCAACATATTTACTAGCTATTAATTGATCAAATATTAGACAAAACATTAATACTTTCAATTAATTACTTTGATTTGTTTACTCACACTAATGGAAGAAACAAACCTTTTAACCCACATTATTTTGACCTTACATATCATAAGTGCTGAATGTAATAATATTATATAATAATATTTGTATTATTTACAAATTTAAACGTGATCTATACAAGATTAAGAAAATCCTGACTTTATAAAATAGACAGTAAGTCAAATATTCTTGTCTTTTCGTATAAAAGTTACATCTAAAATTCAGTAAAAAAAAAGATGATATTCAGGTGACTTTGCAAGTCGTCTGAAACAAAACGTAGCGTTGTTAAAGTACAAATTTATGTAATTCCGTTGACTCTGCTCGTTTCTTTTTTATTTGGTTGGGCGCGGTTTTAAAGTTTCGCCATGCGGAAAAAGTACAAAGCGAAAAATGTTGGGGTGGAAATGGTACAAATCATCTGCGACCGCTATAGATTAAACAGGAAAAAAGGTTCTTAGCGAATAGGGACACGCACACTAGTTTACACACACACACATACACACAGAGGATGAGGGTGAAAAAAGTGTGAGTAAGAAGTCAAATATTATATATTCCCGTGGGAGAAGTTGGCTGGGACAAGAGCGCAAAACTTTTCGTCAAGCGATTCAATTTTTTTTTTGTTCTCTCTGCATCGCATTCCCTCTTACTTTATCACAGTCTCTTTCCATTCATCCGTCTTTCTCACCGTCGTACGCTCATCGAGATTTCTTATCGTCGTGCGATTTTCCCGTTTTCTCTTACATTGTCGACTCTCTCACGAGATGAAAATTGATTATCGAATAAGTATATAAAATTTAAACCGTTTCATTTTATGGATGAACATTTTTGAGAGAGTAAAAATGTGGAAAAGATATTGCATTTCATTTTCACAATATTTTTTTCACTTAAGAAATTGTTAAAGTAAATAATTTTGTGTATTTTTTTAGAAATTACTATTATTGAAATAAATAATCGTTTATTTTGAAATATTCAAACTGTACTTTTGTGCATCCGCACTATGCGAGGTCCTGCAGCAATTATAAAGGCTTTAGTAATATATTTTACGTATACTGGACAATTTTGTATATGTAATAGGTGAATAATTCTACAATTTAGAACTTAATATAAGCAATATGTAAAAGAAAACATCCAATTTAAATAAAATTATTTAATCCTGTTTTTCCAAATTTTACATGTATAAAGTAAACACGTAGGGAATATTTTATACAGGTTGGCGTGGGATCCTCTGACATTTAAATTTTATGAAATATATCAAAAGTATTTAAATATTAATATGAAATTGAAGAGGCTATAACATTTTTATGCAAAAAATACAAAGAGGAATTTTAATATAAAGAAATTTAAAGTTAAATTGTATAGTTTATTTATATGTTACCTTCGTCTTATGGTTACGCACTCAAATTTTGAATTCATTTTTATAAGTTTGAACGGAATGTTTTCTTTTCTTTACTTAGCAGTTTTAATTATTCCTCTTGTTGTCTCCATTCTCGAACCATTTTCTTTGTTGGTGGTGGATCAAAATGTCTTTCTGCTGCTCTGTTTCCAAATTATTATTTTACATAATTGATCACATTTACTTTATACCTTAGGTTATATGAAAGTCGTTTTTGTTTTATTATCAAATTTAGAGACGATTTATTGAAAAAAATATTTCAATGTTACTTTCGGACCAAAATTTGAGTTCATTTGTCTATGTAAAAAGGTGCGTCTTATAATCCGAAAAATGCGGTAATAACATATTAATAGGTAGGCAGAAGTACTTTATCTCAATTTAGTACCAATAAATATTAATAAATGAACAAATAATAATGATTATTGTTGCTTCAATTATAAAATAATGCAAATAATTCAACATTTTAAAGTGTGAGTTTAAATTTTAAACATGAATCATAGCAATGGACTTTTTAGGTGTTTTTGCCAAAATATATAATAATTTTATATAATAAACATTTAAGATGATAAATTAAAATAATTCATATTAATTTATTGTTGTAAATGTTATATAAATTTAAATGAAATAAAACTTAATATTTTATATATTTACTATCGATATATTTTTTGAAGTAAGCACATTTTTATACATATTTTTGATGATTACAGGAAATATCTTTTTACTTTGTATTTTAATACAAATGAACAAGAAAAAAAGTTGTTATTTGAAATTATCAAAATTTGTTTGTATATCAATTAAGTACAATAAATAAAATATTATAATAAGAATTTGTCCATTCAAAATAACCAGTTAAACTGTTTATTACATAAAATATAAAAACTGTTTATTACGTAAAAAGAAAATTTCGGTAATTTAGGATACAGCCATATTAAGTTAAGATATTGGATTCATTTGAAATCATATAATAATTTGGATCAAAATAAGTTATAGTAATATGTATTGTCTTTGACAAATGGAATAGTACTTAGTAGAAACGATTTTCTAAATGAATACCTAATAATAATAACACATATGATTGAAAGATTTCGGAATCACAGTCATTACTTGACAAGAAACAAACAAAAACATGTGAGAAAAACTTAGAGCTAGATCAGTTAATGTCGATAAGATGTGTAGAAACAAGGAACATAAGAGAGATTCCAAATGAAATATTTCAATCAATCAATCTCAGGACCAGAAGCACCGAACTGGGGGAATAATTTTATCCTTTTTATCCACACGGGAATTGATGACGTCGTGTCCGACTGATTGGACGTAGTTGATTCGCACGCCGATTGTTTACACGATGGATCCGGATTCGCACCGTTGATGGATTACATCTTGTAAACAAATTATTAGAGGATTACCCAGTACTTTCCATTTGTCAACTTTCTTTTTCGATCTTCAACCTATCGCATGTCATGATCCTTGTTAATTATGTATCTTCCATCTGGCATTATGTAAATGTAATGGTGGTAGTCGTTCGATATGGATTTTGGTTGGAACGTAAATCAATACGGTCATAGGCGTTTAAATAATTTATTCGCTGGTTGGCGGGTTATGATGAATATTTTCGTACGTAAGCTCGTATCTTGTAGTTCGCTTCGACCGTTTTGTATGCTCGCAGCGAACACACATACAAAACCACTTCACGTTGGTCTGCATCCTCAGGATATTTCTCCAGAGATTATCTTTTTCAATTCTCCGATAAATTTTTAACGCCGCAACGCTCGGCGCAAAATATGTGCACGCAGTAGGCAGCAGCACTTCCGCAATATTGTCTGCTTACCTTCCTTCAACTTGAAGCCATCAACTAAAACCGTTCATTAATAAATAAAATCCATATTTCACAATGCCCGCAGCTCTTTTAAAACCCATTGCATGGAATACAGTAACCGCTGCATCTACAAAATCAATAACACACTCACAATAATAATAAATACTGCAATACTCGCATAGTACGGGTTCTGCCAATAGCTGTACTATTATGAAGAAAATAAATAATCAAAATAAATAATCCAAATATAGGATTTAATACAATTTTTATGAAGAAAATAAATAATCAAAATATTGCTCTGTAATTGAATTTAGTATAAAAGTTCTCATTTCAAACAATAGGAAAACTCATTATAAATTTCCTTTATTCTCGTTAATAATGATTGAATGATTTCAATATGCATAAATTGTAATTATAATTAATTAATTTGTATTATATTATATCAATCAGATTATTTTAATTAAATTTAACTTTTAAATTTTAGCAACAAAAAAAAATAAAGCTTTAAATTACGACAGACTAAAAAGACGAAGAATTAAACGCTCTTAGAAGCCGTATAAATCTCATAATTATTCTATTCCTTTCCGTCGTAAGCTTCGGTAATCCGATTTTGGAAAGGCTTTTAACCATAGCCGTTTGTGAGACGCTACAGGAAGGACTAAAATTATAATGAGACATCACGGAAAAAGGACACAGAAAACTGATCCTATTGTACGTAGTATATTCATATATCATATATATATTGGGCTATATTTTTAATTGTATCAGACACCCGACATCCAATATTCAATCCAACGGCATTTAATCTAATTTGGTCTACCGTATAATCAAGTCTCACGATTTCTATTGAAATCAAATTAGTGGTCCATTTATAGCTGTTACATTGAATGCGGTGATAGGTTGAAAGAGAGAGACGGAATTGGAGTATCGGATGTATGGAGGAAAATGTGGGCGAAGCGACAGAAAATAACAAAACAAAAAAATACAAAACTTAAAGCTCACACCTGAGCAAAGCTCTCAAATTTGTTGTATAGCGTCTAGACTTCAGACAGGTCTCATTAAGTCGACGCTTTTCAATCATCGTGGATACACAAGACAATACGCGTATATGTGAGGGCCTGTATGTATGTGCAAATTTTCAATCTGTTTCCATGCGTTCGCAGCCTTCAAAGCAACAAACCATGATGGAGCACAGGGTGTAGTCGTGATCTTTTGTCGTCTGGTATACACACCCAGGGTCTGCCAACATTGATGCATTAGGCAGAAAAGAGTAGAAAACAAAGGGAACCTCGAGAACGATTGCATTGCGGAAAATATTCCATTAACTCTTTTATACAATGTTAGAATAATTTATGTAGAAAGAAATTGTGTGTTATTATACAATATTTTTTAAAAGTTTTCTTGAATGAAGACTTTGTGAGAAGATAACAAATTAGAACTAAGTCATTTAGGGCTTCAGTTAACTGCAATTAATCTTGGAGAGTATAGACATCAATTAAACAGTTTCCTTTCGGAGATGTTAATGTGTTTTTGGCGGTTTGCAACCGTGCATACCGGAATCCTTCTCGTTATTGGGCACGTTGATTGATCCCTTTGTAACCCTAATTCCGTATAAACCAACAACTCATTCCCGGCTGCGTTGCTCGAATTAATTTTCACCCGTCGGCACCACTAAGATCGGTGCAATCTTCGCGCCACGAGGATGGATCGACCAATTTAATGTTCTCACAAACTAAGTGTACTTGTTTTTTTCTTGCTTTCAGCAGGGACGCGAGAGGGCAACTCGTCACCTAAATATCCTGTAATCGTGTTCATCCACGGCGAGAGCTACGAATGGAATTCGGGGAATCCTTATGATGGTAGCGTCTTGGCCAGCTATGGAGGTGTAGTCGTTGTTACTATCAATTACCGTCTAGGCATCTTAGGTAAGTCTATTCTCTCTTTTTCTCTTTTGACGTAGTTATACTTATAAATTATCAAATTAAACAATTATCAAATCTTGTTACAAATTATTTTCTGTGTAAAAGACTATATGATAGTTTTATACATTAAACTGATTAATAACCCATTAAAGTTACTCTTATATTAAAAATGTATATAGTATACTACATAATTATAATTCTAATATCCCATTCAATTAGAAGTAAAAATAAAGGTTGTCCCAAAACAGTTCATATTATATTTTTTTAATAAAACACATTTTCGATTTGATAATTGATAATATTTTTGCTTTATTATAAAGTAGAGACATTGAAGTAATGTGTGATATAAAACATTTGAAAAATGACTGCCCCTGCCTTTTTGATGAAATTTTCCATAATATATTGACATAATTCATTAGAAATTTCGGTAATGTTTGAGGTCCTCAATGGTTTTTTGATGTACCCTCTATCTTTAAGATAACCTAAAGTAAAGAATTACCTCACAGAAGAACAGTTTTCGTATTAATTTCACCATTTTTTTAACTAATGAAATCATATAGAAATGTCTACTCTGGTTTTACCACATATTTAAAATGTAAATTATTTGTGGGCCACGACGGATCCTATTAATGATAAGAGCCTTGAATAATAGCATAATCTCTTAAAAAGATTGATTTATTAAAAACTAAGTATAATCCAATTTTCTTTTCTGCTATTATTTATGATATTATTATTAATTCAAATTTATTAGCAATAAATAAGTTATTAATTTTATCACGTATCCAATTTCATCAAAATAGAGTTGAAATAAGCCATGAGTTTTATAGCTCTCAATATGTTTATTAAATTATAAAATCGATTACGTAATATCGAATAAAAGATATAAAGAATATTCCATTTACCAGATGCTCTCCTCTCCTTATTAACAAAAAAATTGTGCGATAGGTATAATAAAATATCGACGTAACGTCCATTGAGAATATAGTCATTAGCAGTAACAGTTTAAACATTCGATGATATTTCAAGAAAGAATCGCCTGTTCCATTACAGTTATTACACCAGAATGCAGTTTCTTCACTTAAGATAATTCAATATTGGCCCGTAAACGTAAAACGAGTTTGTGCGTTCCCCCGTATCGGTAATTACAATATCTTTCTAAAGTATTTACTCCGAACTTTCCACGATCGTATAGTTTAAGAACAGCCCTTGTTTTATATGAAGAATAACGTCTGTGTACGAGTATCGCAAAACTTTGTTTCGAAACTCCATTATTAGAGATATGTAAATGCAGTAACTTGTTTTTAGTAGTTTATTGCAATGTGTGAAATATTATGTTGTCACGGTAGACAAGTTATTGCTAGTAGCTAGAACTGTGCTAACTCATAAACGGAGTTGCTTCGAGTATTAACTTCTGATGCAGACGAGGGAATCTGGGCCCGATCAAAGGACGACCGTACGTCCATCTCGGTGACGGATCATCGTCTAACTTAGGATACAGAGTTTGCAGCAAAGTCTGGTAGCAATTTCCAAGTTTATAATGGCGAAAGAACATCATCATAAGTTGCCACCGAATGCTCCTCGCAGTATAACACAAACTTTCTTGTTGTTAAAAAATACCCCCAGATATTTCTTCTATTATATATATACACATATACACATTCGCAATACGTTTCAGTTCAACGTGTGTGTGTTTTTTTTTTGTTCCTCGGCCCATTTATTTGTTAATTCTTGGGGCCCTTCGCGTTATCGAGCGCACGGGGAACCATTTGCGGCATCATTATCGTTGAAAACGTTCGACAAGATAAATACGTCTTTCGACGAGCTTTCAATTATGTTTTATGGGAATTTCGACACCTCTCGCCCACAAAGAACACCCTCACACATTCCTGCTGAACTTAAGGGTTTTCGCACACAATGCAGTTCCAAACACACAAAAAGAAGAAAGAACCGCCGCACGAATGAAAGAAGTATAAAAAAAAGTGTATAAGAGGGAGAATCTTGGAATGATCGCTAATTATTCTGCACACGTAATGCGCCTTATAAATTTTAAGAAACTCGAATAACACAACGGCCTTTTCAAATATAATTACGTCATTCGCATGCACACTGCGATTCGCTCACATTTAAATTGTGTTTGTTATAATTACCTTGTTTAATAATACAGTTAGTTAATTAATTAATTAATTGAACTCAATTGCGTTTTACAATGATAATTATAATTGTTGAATAATTATAGCTTAGCGCAACTGCACTTCTATAAACTATATAATTAATTGTAATTTCAAATGGGAATAACATCAATTTTACATATTACATAAAACAAAATATTCAGTTTATTTATACGCATTTTATATTGTTAAGAGCACTCATTTATATTGTTTTTTTTTTATTCAAAAGCGTACTTTTTAAATTTATATGAAATTAAAACCTGAAAATAATTTGTTTTATTTTTTAACGAAACATGGTTAATCATTGATACTGCTCATTCAGTAAACAATTATTTAATTATATTCCACAATTAGAGTAAATTTTTGAACAAGCCACTTTTTGAAGAAAATTGAAACTCTTATAACTAAAATTGCAAAGTTTATTCCAAAGAACCAATAAATTATCAAATCTTGTATAGTATGGATTCACTATAGTAGACATTTTATGTTTTCAGTCCATTTATATATTTTACATTTTCGTTTAAGAAACTAATATTTCCAAGCTTGCTTTTTAAATTTATTTATTTTTTATACATTGGAGTTCGTAATTTTATTCCATGTACATGGCAGACGATGAGAATGAGGATGACATTATTGTTGTACACCTCCATAGTGTTTGAGAGCGGAAAGGAAAATCAATATGGAAATGCGATGGGGAAAGAGGAAGAGATACATCAAAGGATTCTGTTTCCCGAATCGTTTGTTGAGACACTGGCACATTTTGTTCTCTTATACATATATATTATAATTGCATTGTTCGCGCATTTGTTACAGAAATTTCTATTGAAATCTATTATACGTTTTCAAAGAATTACGAATAAAGGTGTACTATGAATTGAAAAAAATCACTATTATTTATCAATGAAGCATTGATATGCTATAACTATAAATTTGAAAAATATCTCATTATTTAATTTTATATTTACATATTATTCAGTTGATAAAACGTAACGTTTCCGTTTTTTAGTGTGAAATAAAACTCTTTATTTGTATAGAAATAATGAACTTTAATCAATTATATATTTTCCATTTTATTCGATGATCTTTCTAACAACTTCATGATTCCGAACTCATTAAACTTATGGTTTTTATCAGCAAGAAACTGAACGAAGTGCGTTCAAGTCATCATAATTAGTGAAATTTTTATCATTAAAAGAGTTTTGAAAACTTTGAAACAAATTGTAAACTGATGGTACAAGGTCAGGGTTATATGAGAGATGCGGCATCACCTTTCAACCAAGCTTCAGTAATTGTCCACTAGTTAACAAAGATATGTAAGAATTTACATTGTTTTGGTTTGCCAATTCCGACCATTTTTCTAGTTGACCCAGTTTAATTAGTTGTCTGAATTGATCGTTTGTTCCTTGGATACAGCTCAAAATATACACACCTTTTGTAATCCCACCAAATTGATAGCATTATCTTTTTTGTTATAATTTAGCATCTAGGTTTGTAACGCTAGAACCTGACCGTTTTCGATTGAAGTGATGATTTGTTGTAAATATTGTTAGTAAATATATGAGAGCAGCAGTATTTTTATGTAATTCTTATAATTGTATAATAATAAAATTTAGGAATAATAAATTTGCATATGTATGATTTCGAAGGATTACAATAAAAACACAAGCATATATTGGTTTTACGTGCGGTTTGTATTCAAACTGTGCAACTTTTTTTTTACACATGTCATAAACATTTCACATAAATGTTATAGATAGTGTATCCTGGTAGATATAGGACATTTATGATGTCCATAAATTATTTTTCGTTATTAAACAAAATAGAAAGTTATGCTTTGAAATATAAATTTATATTTATCCTGCGTATGCCAAAAAAAAAACGAATATAATACTAGAGATATACAGAGGGCACATAACACCGTTATTTATAACAATGCTAAAAGGACTGTTAAATGTTATTGCATACGTCGGAATGGAATATGCAGCGCGCACTCTATGAAATTGTCCCGCCATCCTGGATATATTAAGTCCCTTATTGCAATAGGGTGGGAAGGAGGTCGGTAGGTAGTGAGTGAGAAAGAGAGAGAGAGGAGTCTAAAAATTGCTTAATCTAAAACACATGCTTCCAGGGGAATAAATCTGCCTGCCCGCTTAAATTAGTACAGAAACGTCCCCGTTTTAAATCAAGACGACAAAATGCCGTATAATAAATACACATTTCATTAAAATTCCGGTCGCCTCGTGCAATTTAAACATTACACCGCCGCGATAAACCGCAGCTCAACGTTTGCTGCTGTTGTCTTTAATCTCGAGGGTTGATACATCCCCAAAATTTCATCCGACTTTACAATAATTATTCATTTATAAGTACAAACGCCATAAGATTACTGCATTAAGCTTTGATTAATGAATTCGGTGAGAGGCGCGATTTCATCTTTTCAATGAATTTAAAGCAATGGCCTTCAAACTTCGTCAGCTCACGAAAGATTATATTTCTTTTCAATCATTTATAGCAAAATAATCAGTGAAAACACAATTTAAGTGGATAATCTAATGAGAGTCACGATTTCATCTTTTGAATGAATGAACATAGATAAAATGTAAAAAAAATCCTTGGATTTCTTTTAAGACACTTTACAATTAAGTTGTCTATCAATTTTTATTAAATTTCAGCAAGATTGTCAATGAAAAAGATATGTGGTGCTTTTTTGGTAAAGTCAGGAAATTCTAAGCTTAAATCTTAAATCTTAAATCTTAAATCTAAGAATCTTAAATCTTAAATCTAAGCTTAAATGTAATAACTTCATTATAGTGATTTAGACTACAAAAACGGATCAATTTTACAATATAATTTTTTTTTCGTTAGAACATAAAAAAATAACCTATACAGAAGTGACAAAACTATTACTTTTAATGTAGGTTTATACTCACTTGGTGTAACCAATTCCAAAACAAATCATTTTTGTATAACATTAAAATACCAACAAGTATTTAGTTCTGTTTCACGTCTCTATATAAATAGTGACATAAATGTACCGGTACTTATAATTACGACAAAGTGTTAAAGTTTCTTCAAAACTAATCATTGAAACTCATAATTTATATGGATAATGAACAGATAAACATTATTGAATTACATTTGGTACTTACATAATGGACTTGAAACTTTGTGTATATCCTTGCAAAACTAGTGTGGTCTACTGCGGTATACTGTTATGGGGTTCAACGAGCAACTCCAACATTGAAATACTTCAGCAATTCCAATCGAATTCGCTGCAAACAATCAACGACGCATGATGGTATGTAGCAAACAGTTTTGTACACAAGGATTTGAAATGAAGACAGTTATGATTGTAATTTCGAACTTTATGAAAATTGAATATATAACGTAGCGCATTTCGACAAAATTTAACGAAATGTTGCAGTGAATATCAGCAAATTTATGAAAATTAAGAACATATTTATAACAATAAACCGTAAAAATTTACATTAATAATGAAAATGTAGTCGAACTTCAAAATCTTTCAAGTGAAGATTTGATTTGAATATTTTGTACTTGCAACCTTTATTTACACTATTTTCGCATTAAATGTTATAATCAACATATATTTTGATTATATGATTTAACGCAGAACTGATAAGAGCAACTTATTAAGAAATTCAAATAATATTATATAATATTATTAAAAAAATGATTAGTTTTAGTAAATATTTTTTTATACATTTAATTACTGATGATTAATCAAATTATCATAAATATTGAATATTGATGATGATGATGATAAATAACATTAAAAGACGAAATTTGTGTAATATCATAAAAATGTAATGATTTCAATTTATTGGAATGGTATTGATGTGGAAAGGCGATGGGCAAAAAGCGCAGCAAGCAAGCAAGTATGGAGGGAACTCACTGGCGAGGAATTTAATTTGGGAAGTTTTTCTGGCAAGTTTCGGCCCTTTCGGAATTAAGTTTTGGCCCAAATTGAACTCCACCGAACTATTCACCGCCGTCCCGACAAACTGATTTAAAGGATTTTCATTTGCCAGTCGTCCTTCACTTACGAAAGTAAGAAATGAACGCAGACTGTTGTATGTGTTTTTCTTTCTTTACTTTTTTACGTTCACATTTTTTTGCGTAGTTAAAACTTTAGAGGTTTACCATAATTAATAGTTTTGAAAGATGAAAGAAAAAACAACTATTGAGTTTTTTTTAAATTTAAAAATCACTTATCTTCATTTCATTATATAATGCATCAAAAGTTAACAGTTTATTCATTTTATTATTAACTTATAGAAAACAGTAATATCTCTAATTAGGCTTCGATAAATACGGATTCACTATAGTGCGGTTTTAAAATTAAATTTCAATTCAATACCTTTGATTTCTCTTTATATAATCAAGTCTACATTTGTGTCCTGAATTAGTCAAGTTTTAATTTAATTTATAAAACAAAAATAATAGAAAAATATCAAAATGCTATTGACTTTAGGTCTTTCTGTCCAACTATAATATTTTTCTAGTATTAGATGATCCGACGAAATCGGGTTAACTGAAATTATTGTCTATTTATCGTGGCGTTTAACCCGCACAGCTGATTTGTACAAATATGTTAACCTGGCGGACAATTAATTCCGTTGGCGGTATTATCAGAAGAGATTGCGGTTTTGTTTTCCAACTCTTGTTGATTTATTCCACTACTTGGTGAGTTGTGACCCAATTGAATCGCTCGGATTAACGGCGGGATTTTCCCCCATTCCTAGAACTAATTCGCGATTCATCTCTTATACAAACGGCGCGACCCAAATCCCCCACTATTACAATTAAACCGTATTCATGACTTACTTCAAGGGATAAAATTAGATGGGACTTTTGCGTGAGCTTAACCAATAATTAAAAGGAAAAATCCAATTGAACAAAAAAAAAATCCAATTTTCAATTACTCCAATTTGCACCAAATGATCATTTAATCATCATCATCAAAACCTTTCCTACTCTAACAATCTCAAACTTTCCGAAAATAAATTAACAAATCGCAATGTTAATTGTAAATAATTTTACGTATTACAATGTGACCAATGTTTTGAGAATGTTACATAATGTACAAAGACCGATACGATGCAGGAAATGAACAATTCTGGCGAAATTCCTCATCTGCGGTTACCCTTCAAATGGTTAAAACCTAAAGCAAATAACGCATTTATGCACTGCTTGTTTATCTAAAGATCTGCCTACAATAGACTGTGATTCTCTTTGACTGCTGAGTGAAGCCAACAATAGCTGGGAAAATGCAGGAAACTGCCGGAGGTGTGTCTAAGTAAAGCTTAACTTTGATGTTTGTTTTGCAAAATAAAATCTCTCTCTCTGCGACACTTCAATTTAACGAATCTTATCCACCTCCGATTCATTAATTATAAACCTTCATACTTTCTCATCTTATGCGAAATGACAGCTGTCACCTTACGTCAATATATTAGCGTTTCTCAACTTATGCGAAATGACAGCTGTCACCTTACGTCAATACGTCAATATATAAGCGTTTCTCAACTTATGCGAAATGACAGCTGTCACCTTACGTCAATACGTCAATATAATACCGCTTCTCAACTTATGCGAAATGACAGCTGTATATCAATATATTAGCGTTTCTCAACTTATGCAAAATAGCAGCTGCGATCATACGTCAAAAAATTTATGCTGCGTGTGGAGAAACGCTGGTGTATACTATGTGAAAACTCACAAATTGTTGGTATATAAAGTAACATACTTCTCGGATCATAAGACACCCCTTTTTATAGCAATCCTAATTAAATTGATAATAGTATTATTTTCTATTACATTATAATATTTTTAATATATTTTAACAATATAATATTGTCAAAGAAAGTAGCCCATATAAGATTTGACAAACAGACCACGAATAGAGATAAAATAAGAAAATGTGCTCTCTTTCGTGTTGATTTGAAGGAAATTTCTTCTGGATTTTTCTATTGAGTATTTCGATTTTCAGGTTTCCTCAATGCCAACACGGATCCGTATCTGAAATCCCCAGCGAATTATGGGCTCATGGATCAGATTGCAGCCCTACACTGGATTCAGGAGAATATTGCAGTCTTCGGAGGAGACCCCACGAACGTCACCGTTGTTGGACATGGAACCGGCGCAGCCTGCGTCAATTTCCTCCTCACTTCGAGCGCAGTGCCTGAAGGTAACTATTTCCTGTAGCTTAGACCACCTCTCAATTATCAACTGGACTCAATCAATAGCGATTTCTGAAAACTTCTTATCTACAAGCATTTTATTTTACTAGTATTTTGAACATTCCAATTTCTTATCGAATTTTGTAATGATATATAACCAATTCAGGAAAAGTATTAGTTGTAATGTTACGATCAGTACTGTTTGTTTCGCTATTTATACCTAGATATAAATATTTTTATCAAAGTATTGTACGTGTCGCCTACCGAATGGAACTAATAATGGAAACACTTTGAACTAACACGAAGCTTGGGGTTCCGTTTCAGCAAATTTTCGATTATCCTTGCGACTTAGAAAGTGCGAGGTGTCGGAACCTCTCTTAACGTCGAGTGTGTTTAATGTGCTCGTAAATCATACGCACGTCTGTAGGTATGCTGTAAATACAGTTGGAGGATATGTCCGGTGGACATACCTCTTCGGTTATATATGTAATATTCAAAGGCAAAGTAGGGACGCTATCTGCCCTCCATTTATCAACTAACTGGGCGTCTTGACGCCTTGCCAACTGGCTTTCTGTGTGCCTGTAATTGACTTATTGGCCGGAAGTCCATTGATCGATCTAACAAAATCTTTGAAGATCCACTCACTAATTCCTTGAAATGACTTTCACTTGCACTAACATTTATTTCAATTACATATACTTGTACCATACTAACATTAGAATTTGTACAAAGAGCAAATGGGGTAAATGTGTATTCTTGTGGGTAATGATGACTTTAGTAATTAAAATTGTATATATTCATGTCACCCCTCTGTAATCAACTATGTATTCATGAAAAAATTGAATTCAATGGGAGACATAATGGGGTAATGTTAACTTTAAAGAATATATTTTGGGGTAATAAGTAAAAAAAAGTTCGTTGACCCATGATGTATTTACCAATGTGTGTAAATCTGTACTTGCGACGTGTGTTGCGCAATGATCTAAATTATACTCAACATTAAGTACTTGTGCTGTTAGAGTTGCGCTACATGACACGAGTAATTAACTGTTGATATACTATATTAATCAATACTTACTTGATTCCAACTGTTTATGAAACAATATCACTAATCTGGCTATACGTACACTACATTTCAAGTACTTTGCCAAATTTTGCTTCTTGGAGATAAAATTCTAGCATATTATATAAACAATTTTTGTTAATTAATTGTCTTATATGAGTTGCGTATATAATAGAAACTATACACGATAAATTACTTATTAATACTCAAAAAAAATAGTTGGCACTAAAATAAATTAACCAAATATTTCTATAATTTGTAAAATTTAGGATGAATAATTAGACTAAATAATTAATACAATTAAGATAATTTAAAGATTTTTGCACATTATACTAAAATAGACAAATTTCTTGTCCATTATATTCATTCCATTATAAATAATATTGAATTAACTAATAAAAAGTGGAAAAAAAGGTTTATTGCAGATGAAATTTCAAGAAGATGAATAATTTAGTGAAATGTGAAAAAAAATTGCACGCAAATAAAAAAAAATTAAAAGTGAGAATGCCAAATTGCCGGACTGAATACATTATCTAAATAAACGGCTAAACAAAGTATGAATTTTAAATTCCTCGCTTCATCTCTGGATGCATGCATCATTTATAATATCCATATGCGTGCATAGAGTTGGTGATATGGTTAAAAAGTACCTAAATTACTTCAACATGAATATATATGATGGACGCAAATGTGACACAGATTTATTTTATTCACTTTCATTAGCATACTTCATATGAAACGGAATGTTCTCTCTATTTTCTAGACACCTTTCACACAGCATGAATTAAAGAGATGTGTCATTATATCCCATTATAATTTTGTAAATGTTTAAAATTTAAAGCAACTTTGAATATTCGATTATAAGAAATAACTAATCGATTTGAGATGAAAATGTAAAATTATAAAAATGTTTAAGATTTTAAAGACTTAAAATTCTTTATCAAATTCAATTAATCAATAATTAATAAATATATCTTTTACTGATAAAATATCTTGTCCATATATCAATATGTAAAAATTGACTTGTTCTCTTCAGAATGCTTTCATCCAATTTAAATCTTAAGAACAAATATAAATATAGAATTAGAAAATATATTTTTTTATTCAAAAATATTAATATTTATAGGTGGTTTTGTTCGTTGTAAAATGAAGACTACCTAAAGCGGTAGATTTTTTTTTTATGGGAATCAGTTTAGAGTGCAACACTTTTTTCTTCCATAATACTGTTGGTAAATGTTTATCGCGAAACAATACCGGGTGTATTGATATTAAGCTTATGCAGCGGCCGAACGCCGCTCCAGGATTTGAATATTCACACGCTCTGTTGCATTTAATTTGCATAGAACATGCAAGCCCTTGCTGTTCGAAAGTTTTCTCTGCATATAAACGTTCGATGCGGGGTGAGGCGAGGCGAAGAGGGACGAACGGAGACCTCCCTTTTTAACCCACACCGCGTGTGCATCGGAGGCCCTTTTTTCGCCAACGCTCCGCGAAAATCCGTAGAGTGGAGGACTATCGTGAAATATCTACATACCACTTTAAGAAACTCGCTCCGACAGCGAGATTCTGCACCGAATGGTCTATTTCGTTATTCTTCCCCTCGTTCCTACACTTCCTCCTTTCCATCGCTTTTTTTCTCTCTCCGAAAGCTCTTCTTCTTAAGATCCGCAATAACAATTTGCCTTCGCGCGTTTACATACATTAGATATAAATTGCAAATTCGAGATTGCCCTAACTCATATTTATTTTTTTTTCTATTTCTATAGGTGTCTTATTTCATCGAGCAGTTCTCATGTCAGGATCTGCACTTTCTCCGTGGGCTTTAGTCCAGGAACCATCGAGGTACGCGGCTCAAGTCGCCATCCATGCCAATTGCTCTCCAGAATTACCACATATACACCTCTTGAAATGTCTTCGAGAGAAGCAGCTGGATGTTTTGATGTCCACACCGATCATAGCTCCAGAATTCGCGTTCGCCTTTGGACCAAGTGTTGATGGAGTTGTTATAGATACCGGAGAACCATCAGGTATAAATCATACATTTAAAAAGCACTAATATTTTCTCAACATATAATAACGTATTAATACATAATGTATTTAGATAACTTTCAATCCGACTTCCGTTTTGAATGTCCATAAAATGAAGAAATTTAATTATTATTATCATTGAGAGAAAAACAAAAAGAGACAAAAGCACACACATAATTATTATTTCAGTTTATACGTCTTATTTTTGTTTGAATCATTACGTTTTTGTGCGACTATTTACCAGATGTCGATGTGGCTTTCTAATCAATAACGATTCGTATCTACATCTTATCCCTGGATTTAAAGACGGGATTAAGAAAAGCTGCTAATTTCCCGGGATTTGTCTCCCGAGAAGAACTAACTAATCAATACATATACACAAAGGGTTATTTACCTAATATTTCAACTCTGTATTACTACTATATTTCTGTTAATATTTCAAATTATGTAACATACATTCTGATTCTATTGATATCATGTCGACTTTATAATCAATAATGATTTAAAGTCAAGATTAAGAAAAGTTTCCCGGGAAAAAAATATTAATACATGGTTTATTATTTCAACCCTGTATTTCTACTATATTTATATAAATATTTCAATTTATATAACATATAAAAAAATGTGATAATTCTTTTATTGTTTTCAGGCGATAATCCGCACTTTGGTGATTTCGACTCGAACCGACCAATCAAAGCCGAGCCTCAGAACGCAATCAATATACTAAATAATGTTTTGCTACGGAAATCCGTGGTTTCGAAATTGTCTCGTTATGATTTAATGCTGGGCGTTGTAAAAGCGGAGGCGTATTTTGCATTTAACGGCGAGGACGTTCAGTACGGCATCGAAGCGGATCGGAGGTCAAAGATATTGAGGACGTTTGTCAGAAACACTTACAGCTATCACTTATCGGAAATCCTCGCAACGATAGTCAATGAATACACGGATTGGGAACGACCAGTCCAGCATCCCATAAATATAAGGGATGAAACGCTGGAGGCGCTCTCCGATGCCCAGTACGTCGCCCCCGTCGTCCACACCGCAGATCTTCATTCAGCGGAGCACAGGAATTCCTTCCTCTACGTTTTCGATTACCAAACGAAATTCGGGGATTATCCACAGGTAAGGAATGGAACCTGAATGATTTCACTTCAAAACTGCGACGACCCAATTCCAGGATAAAGAAGGACGCGCGTATCGCGTGGAAAATTTAATTTAAATTTCACGTTCCGTATATTAAAGTAGCTGGTTTACGTTCGACAGTTTATTCTATTGAATTTACTAGACTCGAAACTGAGACTCCAAAGCAAATTTTATTGTCCAGAATGTTTCGGTCCGCAATAAATATTTGTCATAAAATGCACGAGGTGGAGAGATTAATTGAACGCATCGAACAGTAATTTATATTTTAAATCTAACGAACGTTTTTATTATTATTGTTATAAACCAAACGAAATGCTTTTAATAACAACGAAAATAAACAGCGAACATCAAAATTTACAGCTCGACATAAATCAATTCGTCCGTTAAATAATTGTTGACTGCGCTATTTTTAACAGTTAAAAACTGACGGGAAGGAGTCCTTACTTACGTAAGGGAATAATAAAGTGGTTTTTAATGAGTGGAACTTCTCGTGAGGGAGGATGGAACGCCTTCTCGTCCGCCTCCCAGCCCCTCCAGAACCAATTCCTGGATATACGCCTATGCGTGGTGGTGGTGGTGGTTGGTGCCGCCGCTGATGGTGGAACTTAATTACCCATAAATAATGATAATTAGTGTTTATCTAGTTTAAAATTTGCCCGTTGCTCACATGTTAAATTCATGAAAGGCGTTACTTGGTTTAACACGAGGATTACGCTCAAAAAGTTTAAATCGTTAATTAATACTTTACATGCACGGGGGTGCATCAGATTAACTTCGTCATATCTGCAGCTCCCGCCAGTTCATGCCTGCTCTCTAATTAGATTCAAACCTTTTTATCCGGCGACTGGCGCTTTCGCACATTTTGGAACATCCGAAACTAATTGTTGGTATATAATAAAAAAAAAAGCTTTTACTGTTTCAAGCATACTTAATAACTAGTAGTTATATACAGTATGTAAATATTATTTTCCAATATGCAATTTCTTCACATTTTTATGAGCTGTTATGTTATGTATTATAGTTATGATTATTTCGTATTTAAAATTATTATGAGGAATGGAATCTCTAATAGTAGAGACTTTCTGTTCTGTTTGATTTAATCCTCTTTGCAATTAATCTATGCTATCTCTGGATTATAATTACCGATATTAGTGCCATTTCTTAGGAAAATGTAATAATGTAAATATAGTTATGGATCTATGGTATTGCATCTGATATAAAGTTTAAAGTGTATTTCTTTTGATAACTTTACTTCCAACCAATTACAGCATAAAAAAAAAATTGGATAAAGCTTTCAACTTTATCCAATTTTTTCAATAATTTCCTAAAGTTCTTAAACTATAAAACTTAACTACATCAGATTACATCCAGTAAAAATTGAAATTTATAAACTGAAAAAAAGTATTATATTCTAAAATCTCATAAATAATAAGGATAAGCCAGCTAAAATATATTAAAACATTATCGGCTTTGTGTAGTTTGTCGCATATCATGAAAATAGCATGAAAACACGTATACACACTAAAAGTTTACAGCTCGGTGTATTGTGTAGTGGTTTTTAAGGATGATGGCCCATATTTTCTGGCATGAAAACTTTTACAAAACTATGACAATTCACGAACTAATATTACCACAATGTAGATATATAATATTTCAACTTTGACGAAACAACATTTCGTTGACACAAAAAAAAGAGAAGAAAAATACAACAACGTAAATGTACAGTCCACTTTAATAATTAGTTTAGAAATTAAAATCAACATTAATGTTTTATTTCAATTTTAAAAAGAATTTTTGAAAATAAATTATTAGAATGTCTTCAAAATGTGTTCATTCATGAGAAAATTCATTATTCTATGATTATATCATAGAATAATGAATGTTCCTTTAAATATGAGCACAACTCACAGAAATAATTATTATCTAGATGAAAACAGAAATAACGATGAGCGTCACCAATAAATAAATTTTGATTTATATAGCTTTATATTAAACACGACTGATGCAATATAAGTACTCGACTTCATATCTGCCAATGCTATAAATTAGTTTAGTATACACTATCGATGCAATTATTATTTTTCTGTAAAACTCTATTGTTTTAATGATAGGTAATAAACTGATAACGCCTCACCTACAGCGTGGATTTCCTATACGAATATCAAATATAAACCTAACTATAAATGATATTGCATAAATACAAAAATAATATAAATATTTCAGGTTTTTAAACTGTCCCATAAGAATTAAATAATGTGACAGAAACTGTAACTTTTTTTTTTGAAAATTATTGCTTACAGAGTATGTTCAAGATTTCTGATCTTGTTCTTTGATAATGTATTTGGGGAAATTGGTATGAAATTTTCTGCATGTGTGGGGTGAATTAGTTTAGCAAGAAGATGCAAGCAGTTCCGGCATGAAATTAATGTGAAACTGTTGAGTTACGATAATCCGTGTTCCTCGGCGGCCTCGTAAATAATAATTCCGGGTCGCTTTTACGAATTCCGACCACGAATTCAGTTTCTGTAGAATTTAGCAGATGCACCACCGCAGGCAGCACCGGAGGCCGCAATTTATTAAATATGTAAATATAAGGATTCGAAGTGGCTCCAAACATATCAATCTACGTTCCTATTCATGAAATTCCATGTATCTTGAACTTGTTAATTCACTCTTGTGTATTAAGATAACGCAAAAAATTGTAAGATTTGCCAAGACCAAATCTATCTTTTTAATATTATATTATTTTGATTTATATTTTATTGTTTTTCCATTTTCCAAGCAGTTAATAAGAATTATTCATTATTAATAATAATATTTAAAAATTGAATATTAGGAAAAACTAAACTTATGGTCAAAAAATTATAAGATTTGCCAAGACCAAATCTATCTTTTTAATATTATGTTATTTTGATTTATATTTTATTGTTTTTCCATTTTCCAAGTAGTTAATAAGAATTATTCATTATTAATAATAATATTTAAAAAATGATTATTAGGAAAAACTAAAATTATGGTCATTAACTTGCCAATTATAAAAATACAATAGATTCCAGACTAAAATGTCCAATAATTGATTCATGATTCATCCACAGTCGCAAAATGTAAAAATTGTGATTTTTCGCATAATTTTTATTGCTATATTATGCAATTGTGATTGGCTTGTGTAAATATGAAAGAAAGGTGTAATAAACAGATAATGAGTCTTTTGCGATGTGGGTGTCGTCCACGAAATAGCACAATGAAATCGCAATGGTAGATGGTATTTTCTCAAAACGAGCGCTTTAAATGTGGACTTGGCCGGAGGCCAGACGAAATGAAGAGGAGTCGGCCAATCGATGCGAATGCAGGACCTTTTAAGAGCACATCTATCCCAAATTGCATCGCTTCAACCCACTTACCCTGATCGGAATCGGAATCGAAATGATCAAACACCTTCGCAAACCAAAAGTAAAACGAAACGAAATAAAGGACGAAGAATGAATTAGAATGCGCTACGTTTCAGGTCTTATGTAAATGTTTGAAACTTACTTGATAGAGAGAGGTTGGAGTATCGCGGGTGCAGCCGTGAGATAATCCGTATAATTCCTGTCGTGGTCCATAGGCAAAGAATGAATGAACGAACGAACGCGATGCGGTGCGGCGCTTCGTCCTGCTGCCTTTTTCCTGTAAGCGACTCCATTTCCTGGGCCAGGCTTAAATTATTCATACCGTATATTTCATTCTCGCTCTCCCGAGCATTTCGACTCCACATCTTCCTTTACCATTCTCAAATTACACATCCTTGTTTCATTCTGTCATTTCACCTCAAACATAGCATTTTCTACTTACATACGAAATCTTCTCTTCTCCACAGAATAACGCTTCTAAAATAATCTTAAAACTACATATTTATAAATGAAACAATTTTATGTATGCATTTATATAACATAACATTATTAAATAATGTATTTTATGAAATACAGAATATTTTATTTCATACATAAAATATATATTTTAATCATTTATTTTACTAATTTTAAAAACTTATATCATTAAATATAAATGAAACACAATGAAATTTATATTGATTTTTAACATCATTCGACAATAAATCAGATTTAATTAAAAGAAAACACGAAAATTGTAAGAATGCAACGAATAACATTATTAAGAGTAGCTTGTCCTATAATATAATTACGTAATAGAGTGTAAAAAATCAAGAAAATATTGAAGAGTTTGACGATTTGCCGACTCCTAGTAAAAGGAAATACAAGTTCATTAGTTTGAATATCAAAGCTATGAACAAATATTAATTATTTTGAATACATATAAATATATTTATTTTGATTCCAAAGATGTTTGATTTCAATTATATAATGTACTTATGTTGTGTATAATAATGATGATCAATAAGTGATGAAATTCATAGAAACCATGTAGTAAATTTCGTAATTGGAACACTGTAATCAAACACATTTCTAAACAACTAACTACCCAAAAGCGTGACGATATAAGTTTGTAACCACGTCTCAAGTTTAACGCACTATTCAACATACAACAATGCTGTGTATAACTTGAGGTAACAGGTTTACCGCTGGTAATGTACACAACCTGAACAACAATTGAAACTTTTTTTTTTATATAAATGAAGTATACTAAATTCATGAACTTATTCATTTAGTGGCATGCGCCCACATTACGTTTATTTATATATTATATAATTAAATTGTAGATAATTTATATTTAAAGAAAGACAAATATATTCTCGCAGATACAATATTTTCTTAAGTGTAATTTGTACGTTCATTAATTATATAACGTCTTTTAGATTGAGACATTGAATAATATCTTAAAGCATATGAAAATCAGTGTTCTTCTACGTATTTTTGCCGGTTTGCAGATTTTCTTTCCACGTCAAATTTTTCTTAAATTTATAACATTAAATTATTTATTTTTTCTTATTTATTAGTTAAAATTTATATGTTAATCGACAACTGTTTCACGAAATATTTTACATATAGTTGGAGGTGTAAAATAGGTTGAAGAATGCTAATTTGAATCTTTTTTTGATCAAAGCCAAGTCGGAGCGTTGTTTCGCTATCGACATGAAAACTTTGAGGTATTTGAAGCATGAAGGAAGAGAATTAAATAAGATAAAAAGTGTATTGGGACACGGCGACAGACGGAAATCGATGTAGAGTGGAGTCCCGTAAAAAATGCAACTGAAAGATATCTAAGAGAAGAGCAGCTTCCTTTTGCAACCTGTCTAGAATATCCTGAGCTTTATTGGTGCACATCAGTTCTTTTACAAAAAAAACATAAATAAATAAAGCCTGTAGAAACAAAAGCAAGTGAAAGAAGATGCGGACGCAAAATACAGCAGATAGGGTAAGACCCAAGTAACAAACTATACAGTTTGCTTTCCGGAGAAGTTTCACTAAAGTTACCCAAAGATAATTCTTCGTGACACGTTATATGCGAAAGGTAGTAGTACTGGTGTGTATGGCTAAGTATATATACACACAATAAAGAGATAAAACTTTTTGGTGGAATGCATAAATTTCTGCACGTATGTGCATGTAATGTATGTGTGGGTGGTTGGGTAATGCAATTTCGCGCCGCACACTAAATTTCCAATATTAATATATCACGGGAACCGTTTGAGTTTTGCGCCCCCTCCAAACTTGTTAATATAAATGGAAAGTCGGGACGGAAAGTCTTTATGCGCCTCTAGGTATTCCATATTTATCTCGCCCATGGAAATTTGATTTCACATGGTCTTAACCCTAATTAGTGGATACGTTCTCGTGCCAATTAATCAACTTAAAGTTCTGGTGCCGCCGTTAATACACCAATGGCTAATTTAATAACGACCAAATCCACGGTCTATGTCTACTCCAATGACTATAGACTAATTAAAGGTGTCACCGCCACCTGATTACACTACTTGTTCGCACGGAATTAGTTTCTAAAGTAATTGAACATGCTGTTGCTTAGTTATCATTGAATCACGAGTAACAAACAACTGTAATTAAATATATAGTTATTCCAATTGGATTATATACAAAAAAATCATTGCAAAGTTATTGTTATTATATAATTATCAACTACCAATTAGAATTATTATAATTCTATTAAAAAATAACTCCAAATTCGTTATGATTGCAAAAATAACTGTAATTATTTATAACTTCTTATGTTTTACATACACATGTTAATATTGTTATTAATTGATGTGATAAAAGTTGGAATATTTTAAGATTTTAAAGTTTCTTCTAAATATTTTTCATGATCGAATTGATAATCATACCGACATGAAAACTAGAAAAATATGCAGGATAATTAAATAATATAATCTATTTATCCAATAGTTTTGAAAGTCAATACAATGTCTACTAAAAAGAAGATACATTTTCCAATCTAGTAAAATTATTGTATCAGAAAGATAATTTAATTGTGGTCAACTGAATTCATCTTCTATAAAGTGTATAGTTCTAGTTTTCCTCTAAGATAAGAGACTACAAGTTTTTTTGATATAATAATGTATTTGATAATGCATAAGGGTTGTCGTGGGCCCTAGGTACATGTTAATTAGATGACAACGGGATCTCGAATGTCAGCATCTTGGAAAATTAACTTTAGAATTAATGTACATTCTTGAATTGTAATTCAACTAATTTTCGTAGGCCCCAAGATGTCCCGTGGGACCCAAAAGTCTAGTGGGCCCCAAACAAACCCCGTATGGATATGATTCACTGACAAAACTGTGTGAATGCAGCAGTAAATTTAACGATTTCTTGCAATAAAAAAACATATATTTTAGAAAAAAAAAAAGATGCTATAAAACAGCAATACACTGCGCACAAAACAAATATGTTTACAAATTGCTCTGCAGAGTCGTGGAAAACAAGGTTATCCATGCGTATCTATATTTAATGCCAGGAAAGTCCGCATACCTAGTAAACGAGCCACGGAGTCACTGGTATTACAGTGTACCTGAATTTTAAAATCCTGAACTTTATTTACCGGTTCAATTACGTCCATTCGAAAGCCACACTTTCTATTTACTTTTAATTACAGCTTCAAGTTCGCAGTTATCGATTTCTCTCTTTAATTATGAAAAAGTATATTTATAAGTATATTTTCAGCGCAACATAACGAGACTTCCGTTAAATAATGAATGAGTACCAACAAATATTTGTTTTTATTACTGTTGACATATTCCAATTGAAAAGAGGTTGACTTGATACAGTATTGTCAATATTATTACAGTAATATAATTCATTATTTGTTACATAATATATAATTATTGATCTTCAATTAATATAATAAATTGTTAGTGTGAATTACAAATTTAATATGTTAAATCAGAAGCTAATAATATATGAATACAAGTTGTAAGAGTGTTTGCCTTTTAATAAATTTTAAATAGGATTAGGTAAAACTTATGTAATCACTATATTAAGAGTGCAATTCAAACTTCACTATTGTCTATTTCTACAGAGACAAGGATGTATACACGGTGAGGAATTGCCGTACGTCTTCGGGGCCCCCTTGGTCGGGGGCCTCACGCACTTCGGGCGGAACTACACGAAGTCGGAGATGTTACTTGCAGAAACCACCATGATTTATTGGAGTAATTTCGCTAGGACTGGGTACGTACTCGCAGACCCAGTTTCCATAAATTCCACTAATTATGAAATCCATCTTTAAGGAATCCTAACGAACCGCAGGAAGCCGATATTGCTCACGGCGCTAGACAAGAAAGGAATCGCTTCAAGAATATTGAATGGACTGCTTATGAAGCCGTCCACAAGAAATATTTAAATTTAGGTAAGACTATCTTTGTATCATATAACAATTTCTTTTAAATGATTTCTATAATAACAGTTGAAACACAAACAGTCTACACTGTTTTTTTCTTCTATACTATAATATTTTCTTTATAAACTGTACATCATAAATCAATATGAAAATTGACGGATGATTATAGGTTTTGTCATATATGTTGTGCAGTCTGCATGAAACCACGCATCAATTATTCAAGTTGTCTCTATTCAAGTAGTATCTTGCGTTTGCTATAGGGAATAATCTCTACAGGAAATCGAACTGACAAGCGAATTTATATAAGTAACGTTTTCGAATGGGTTTTAAATGGTGCGATGGATTTCCCGAAGCCCCGAACCATCAGAAAACTAGCACTTAAGGATATTGAATACGCGAAGGATATTCTAAATTGCAAATGCAATCAAAATGCTACACCTGGCTGTTTTTTTTTTCATCTTGTAAATTTCAATCGAAGAGAAAGGTTATAGTAAATAATTTATAAGAAATATATTTGAATTTGCAGATTTATTGGTTTATTATCAAATTAAAAAAAAATTGTGTTAATGTTATTACAGGTTTCTCATGTTTCGATGGAATTAATAATATTTTGTGATTTTTGTTTTAGATACAAAACCAAAGTTGAAGAATCACTACCGAGCACATCGACTGTCGTTCTGGTTAAACTTAGTTCCTGATCTACACAAACCAGGCGGAGATGATGTGCCGCGATCACATCACGAACTTCCGGACGACGAACCACAGCCAAAGCTGCCGTCGCTGAATCCCAGAAAACTTACAACAATCGAACCTCCGGACCAGAAATCCACGCAGATATCCCTAAATTCGTCAGCTGTAACTCCGACTATTGATTCTACAGAGCGAGTTGAAGAACTCGGCGGAGCCAGTACAACTACCCACCCCGTCGAAGATGGTTTCGCAGCCTATTCAACGGCATTGAGCGTGACGATAGCAATAGGATGTTCGCTGTTGATCCTCAACGTTCTCATCTTCGCCGGTGTGTATTACCAACGCGACAAGACTAGGATGAACGAGAACGGACATGGACAGGCAAAGAAGCGCAATGAAAATGGTCAGATGCCGAACAACATCTGCGGAGATCTAGAGTCCAGCATCATAGGCGTTAAGAGTGATCCCGCGACGATCCTGGGCCATCACCATTCGCATCATCAGCTGCCGCCTCCGGAATTCGCCGACATACCACAGAATAACGCAACACTGCCGCGTCCACCGCCTCCGCCAAAACTGTGTAAAGCCAATGTTAACACCCTTACGTCCAACCCCATGCCGGAGAATCAGCCGCTGCTGTCCACGCACAGCATACAATTGATCAACACTGGTACTTTAACCAAAAAGAACACACAGCTTAACAGCAAACAGAACATCCCCATGGAAGAGCTGCGTGTGTGACGCGAACTAAAGTGATCCATTGCAATAATTTTATTTACGGGGGAATGTTGAAGGAGAACAGATTGGAACGAATTGAAATTGAATTAATGGATACATAAACTGATTGCTCAAAAATCACCGGACACTTGAACTTTAGTGATTTTATTTTATTTTTTACTTAGCGACTTCAAGTAAATGAAGAGAAGAATCAAGTATAATAAACAATATAAATCTTATCGCCATTTCCGCAGGGAGGAACGTATTCAATTGTCCCCGCGGATAATGTATAAATCGGTTTCTTTAAAACTACGTGTTTACACTTATATTCTGAGGGATACATAGAATTTTCTTGACGCTATTGCAATTACCTAAAGTCCCCAAGAGACCAACGTATATAAGTAAGATGTAACGAATTGCAATAACGTCAGCTGTATAAAAACAAAACTGAATAATATTTTTAAACAAGCGCTAAACCTTTAGCAAATGTTTAAACTAATTTAAGGTGGATGCGTCTGTTCTACATTGCACGGTAAAAATCGCTTCGTTATAGGAATTGGAATTGTACATAAACATAATCTTTTAACATGTCTACTTTATTGTTAATGTATAGTTAAATCTACTTTTCTGTGATAGATA